TCCACGACCTGTCATTTCTTCCTCACACCATCTCCTCCATATTACCCTCACCACGGACGCCCAACTCGTTGTTTCCCATCTGGGTTCCACTCGACAGTCTGGCCTGGCTCATGATGTCCCCGAATGGTCTTCTCAATACATGCCCAATCCATCTCCACTTCCTTCCAGTGCATATTTGTTGAGTGATAGGTTCTTGCTTCGTTGGTTTGTTGTCAGGCCAGAGTTCCATGTTGCTTATTCTTCCTAGCCATCTGAGCTTCAGTAGCAAGCCAGCGTAGGTAGTTGTTGATGAATGTCTGCACACCGTTGGAAATGCTTTTCGTAACGCGCCAAGTGTCTGACTTGGCCTCAATTAAATGCACTCGACGAATATCGTAGATGGTCGATGGGAACTTCAACGCACAAGTAGGATGTGTATGTTTAGAGGTTCAATGGGGATGAGTTAATCGAAGGTCACACAATAAGAACCATCTTTTGCAGCGTTTTGTAACTCAAAACCCGAATGTAGCAATCACCCAGCCATTATTATTATTATTATTCAGCTAAGTGGCTTTCATCAATTACTTTTCAAGCATACACTCATAGTATTGCAATTATCTACCAGTGTTTAGTCTATACTTGGGACTGTATTTTCTTCTGAAGAATCTGTTTAACTTGTGATCACTATTTAATATTGGTCAAGTTCATCTTGTTTTCATTTTCTCAAAAAAGTTTACCAAAGCATATCGACTGCATCCAGTATTCCAAGTAAATACCAAACAATACTACGTTCAAGATAGCCTACGAACATTTTAGGAAGTATATGTCAGTGTCTGCTACATTTGCGGGATAACATGAAAATGTTTAGTGAAACTGTTAGGGACTATGAACAACGCTCTGATAATAAGCAATGGTTCTTTATTGGTTCTGTGTAGTTTCTTTCCGCTAATCAGTCCGTAGTGGATTACAAGTACAAGAGTATACATAACAGTCGCATATATGCAACAAATTAGGGAGGCTTATATGTAAGGTCTAGTTGCATCTACCAACAAGTGGAAACTATTCCAGCGAATTCCAGTGAAACAGTTTGTGAGGTACATAGTATGCTGACTGGCTGACTAAATCAACGTAGAACGCTAAAAACAAGTGCATCGGATTAAGTCCCCACACTTTATGGCATTATACTAAGAACAGGTGGATAGGAAAAGTGATTTCAAAGTAGATAAGGTTGTGTGAGAGAATAAGCCATCTGAAAGTAACAGTTAGTGTAAATATTCAAGCTTTGGAAGACGTCAAAGAATGAATATATTTGAGTCATCATTGTGACCGATTTTCAGACATGTAACTAAGACATCTCAACCACTGATTCCTTAAGTCTCGGGGACCCCAACCAGGCAGTCTACATCTCCCTACACGACTCAGGACAACAGTTAGAGACTTCGTCGACTGGTGCCATGTCTTGATTTCACCACCTTGAACCCTATTCCAACCTAGCCGAAATTCCACTAGCATGGCACATTGAAGTAGGCGATGATTCGCTATGCGCAGTGTGTGTTCCAGCCACCTCAATCGACTAAGGTTCACAACCTCATCAATCGACTTGCTTGTCTTTGCTAGAACCTTTCACCTGACAACAATATTGCTCACATGATGACTTCATAAAATGTGAGCAGTGCTACCAAGACATCTGTGATTAAAACCCTGTAGTTGTTTCATGTCCTCTACTTTCAACGAACATATCTAACAGCTGTACAAAAAGACAGAAGGGATTGTAGTGCAGCATACTTGACCTTTGATACATAGTCGGATATCTCGTCAGTTGGAGCCACAGGTGACGCAAGTCACTCAGATTTCTGCTCAAAGCGTTCAGAAGACCTTGCATTTTATCAGCATCTTTAGCTAGTAAGATAATATCGTCTACATACTCCTACTCAACCAGATAACCTTCAGGGAGTGGGACAATCCCTGTGAAGTCAGACCTACATTAGGTTATTTCCATTAGTAAGTCTATAACAAAGTTAAGTAGAAACGGTGATAGTGGGCATTTTTGGTAGATACCATGAGGTGTCGTCAATTCACATGACAGTTCTCTAAAAACCACGACAAGGATGCCTGAATGCGAGTTAAAAGGTTTGATTAGCGTCATATACTTGGTCAGTACTCCCTTAATACTCATACACTGCCACAACAACACACGGTCGACTGAATCAAATACTGTCTTCAGACCAACACATATGGCAAGTGTCGGCCATTGGCCGGTAGGTACGTCTGTGTTCCAGAATCCATCGGAGGGTAAAAATACGACCGATGCACACTCGTCCAGGTATGAAACCTTCCTGGTTTTCTCTAGTTTGCTGTTTTCGAGCTCTAGTTAAGCGTCGGATAACTATAAATCCTAGGATCTCCGATACATTAGTCACACTAATTTCCCTATGGTTGTCACAAGATTTGTCCCCTTTCTTATAGACTGGGATGACTGACGAAGTAAACCAGTCTGAGGGCATTACCTCTTATTCACCATACTCTACCTTGTACCTCCGTCACTCTAATCATTAATTTCTTGCCTCTGTCCTTGAAAAATTCAGGTGGCAAACTATCAAGTATTATCGCTTTCCATCGTTTCAGGTTTGATACAGCCTTTTCAACTTCAAAGAGCATTGAAGAACTGACAACTACGTCCCATTCAGGTTCAGACTGGATGTTGGGCAACTGAAGAGTTGATGAGAAATCCAATGACGTTTGCTAACTTTCACGTGTAGGCTACTAATTTTCTTTACCGCTGTTTCTACAGCAGACTTCATATCACTCCAGATTTCCTCAGGATGAGTATTGCTGTCATGTTCAAATAAATGCTTAACTATTTCTTCCCTGAATGCGTACTTGGCCTTCGCATCTTCCAACCTGCTATAAGACAAGCATCGCTGTCTTTTTTCCCCTGTAAACAGACATGCTCGAGCTCGTACTAACGCGTGACCGGAGGCCAAACTAGTACTGCAAAAAGAGCGACAATCGTCCATCGATCCTCTCTAACAATGGCTTATAGCAATGTGATCTATCTGTGTCTATCGTTGGTTTGATGTTAGCAGACACCATGTGAGACACCGTCTCTCCTTATGACTAAGGTTGTGCTGGCCGGAAACAAGTGGTTGTCGGAGCGAAATTGCAACAGACGGTTACCGTTGTCCGTTCGTTATCATGGGATCCCGTAAATACCTCCCAGATGCTTCTCCGATTGGATCGGCTCAGCTCCTCTCCTTCAGCGTTAAAGTCACCTGCCATAATGATTACACCTGAACGTTTTGTTTTCTGTAGCAAAGTTGACAGCTTCTCATAGAATTCATCCTTTGCACCATCCAAACTGCAGTCGGTGGGTGTGTAGATGGAGATTACGAACAGGTATTGCCTGGTCTTACGATCCTTCCTAGTCCTCACAGATCCATTCAGTAGAACAGCCCATAGACGGCTGTTGACAGGCGTCCAGTCGAGAAGCGCACTTTCTGATCTACAACTCAATGCTCTACCTACACCAGCGAGTTCACGAGAGCTAGCCACTGGGTTTCCGGATACTTCTAAGGTGAATTTGAAGATTTATCACTATGGCTAGATGAGGTCAATTTAATAACCACACTCGGGTCCTGTATACATGTCTCACAGATACAGCATATATCCACGGATAGAGAATCCAGAGTTCTGGCAAACGATGCTTGCTGTGTGATTTGACATAGAGTTCGTAAGCTGAAGGCACTTACATGAAATCGATGATGGGTGTGAGGAGACCAGGAATGAGGTTTCGATGGTTTTGATCGTTGACAATGGTTACAGAGTGAGAGATTGGGTAAGTCGTAAGAGGCCTAATATTAGTGTAAGGAGACAGTTGAGGAGGATAAGTTATGTGTGATTGGATCTTGTGTAATGCTGGAAGCTTTTATAGGTGGTTGACCCTTCCTAGCTACCCACATCATAGAAGGCCAGATCTCCTTCAGGGGCCTGAAACGGAAGATCTTCACGAGCAAAGAGCCCATCGGATATATGCTTGAGGGCTATCACACACAGCCCTTTGTGGGTTGTTGTTTTCAGGCTTGGTTGTTCCAGCGCTGGATAGACAAAAAACCCATACCACCGGCACCCGGAAATCATGGGGCATGGTGGAGTGTGTTATTTTTGAGACCGATCTTTCTAACGCCCCCAACCTCCTTTAAGAAGGCACCATCAGAGCAGCAATGTTGGTCATTCAAGGAAGCACCTCATCCAGCTAGCAGCAGTATGACTTCGCCCTCAGACCCCTATCATAGTGTGGCAATTTACGCTACAACGGTAACTGCTTTTCGTCTAATCACTATCCAACAGACCTTACTAGCATAATAGGACCTGGAGGGAACAAACGTTCCACCAGAATAGCTCGTTGTGATAATGCAAGCCCGACCATCACGTCAAGATAGCAGTTATCAGTCGGAAAAGCATCTTGTGGAACTAGCTGTCTAATCACTCATCATATTCTTATCCTCTCTCTACTTTTGGTTCCATTACATCACGTTGAGTGACACATCTGTTGATGCCCATGGTATATTAAGTTTGTGTTTAAAAATGAAAAAGTAACACACATAGGTAAATGTTTGCAACAGATAACTATTCAAATACACAGAGTAGTATGATTTGAGTAAGTCTTAGTGGTCACATTGTTAAATGATCGACAGAATTCGGTCAGTGTACTAATTCCGGCCTACAGGAGGTGAATGACGACCCGAATAGCTCTGTGGTAACGTCGCTGATCGTAAGACTGCGCGAAACGGGTCTAAATCTAAGGCCAGAGATCAGTTTCTTCAAAGTTGCGAGTAGGGCTTTTTGTCGATTACCTTCGACCAACTAACACTCGTGAAACAGTCTAGAAAGTATTTAAACGAAATTACAGTAGAAATCCTTATTAAAGGATTTTAAATTGATCTTCCAGAGACAATAAGAACTATAAAGACTTAAAACCATAAACTTACAAGGTATAAAATATACAACATTCAATCACTCACCTCCTGCTTTTTCTTAGCAGCCAGATCAAAGTTTCCTAATTTAAGAGCTTTATTCACATGCTGCCATAAACGACGAGACTCTTCAGGTTGTTGGCATTCTGTAGGACGAATACGCTTTTTAAAAACAGGCAATTTATTGATATCAACTGACAACTTTTGAGGATTCTACAACAAAATATTTAATAATACATAATTAAGCGAATTATAGTGTTCGAATCCATAGTAAGCATATCATAATAGGCTTATAAAGAGACTGAAATTGAAATCTGAAATATGATGCAACAAAAGTTTATGACGTTATACATTCCTGTAATAATCCTAATAAACATAAACTGAATTTGTACTAAGTGATGATTGAAGGTGAGATGAAAATCTGAACCGCGACCGGACTCGAACCAGCGACCGCCAGGTTAGCGGCCCGGTTCTCTACCAACTGAGCTACGAGGTCCAACTACTGACCAGAATTTTATTTCACTTCAATCACCAAGGATTTTGCCTGACTACCATGTGAATTCGTGGTTCGTTACCACCGCTTGATCACACTGGCTGCCCGTAGTCAGGACTTCTCATCAGAATCCAAATCTAACTGGATCACAGAGGGGGAGCATCATATTGATTATGATTTGGCTATCTAAGATAGCTGTAGTGTGGCAGACTAGTATTTCTAGTGGGTGAGGATTGAAGATGAAGGTAGACGGGCAAAACTCTTGGTGATTGAAGTGAAATAAAATCCTGGTCAGCAGTCGGACCTCGTAGCTCAGTTGGTAGAGAACCGAGCCGGCAACCTGGCGGTCGCTGGTTCGAATCCGGTCGCGGTTCAGATTTTCATCTCACCTTCAATCATCACCCAGTACAAATACTAGTCTGCCAAACTATGGCTATCTTAGATAGTCAAATCATAAACAAACTGAATTGTTCTTCAAAAGATCAATTCAGTATTCAAAACTAACACCAAAGATGTATTCATCATTTAAGAAAATTACATTTATCCCTGTAATGGGATTGTAAGCAATGCTGAGGTTATACGACAGCTAATAGGTAAGGAAGGCAAACCAATTAATAAGGTTGTGAACCTGACTCAATTAAGATGGCTTGGACACATAGTGAGCGTGTCGACCCACCGGTTATCTCGAAGTGTCATGTAAACGAAAGCTGGATTAGAGTGGGGGAGAGTTCACGGTCGCCAGGTTAGTGAAGTCTTTAACTGCCTGAACAGTGTCAGGATATGCAAACTGCCTGGTTGGGGTCACCGAGATGATAGTAGAATAAGTAGTTGAGGACCTTTGGTGATATGTCTGAAAATCTGTTGCAGTGATGTAGATGTATTTACTTGCTGACTTCTTCAAAAGTTTGAAGATTTTCAATATCCATGATCTTCAAATCTCTTTTCTGTCTGTAATGAGATCTAGCTAATTAGAGTAACCTCATCTAATTTCCAAGTTATGGGCTCAAAGTTTGAATAGACATCCATCAACTTTTAAGTGAGCAATCAAGTACTACACTAAACCATCTGACTTATAACCTAATACAGAAACCTATACCAAGTAAACGGATCACATCAAATCTATTTTTATTCATTACTAGAAAATATTTAATTACTTCTAAGTGCACTCACCTTAAACGTTCAGTAACACTACGAGAAACTTTTTACTTATATACTTGGCTAATGAAGTTTTATAAACACTTATGAATCAATGGGAGGGAGGAAAACTAGAAAAATTAAGATAATATGGAATCGAAATTCAGAGAGATGAGACTAAAAATACACACTGACAGAAATTATCCCTATCCTAGTCAGGAAACAAAGTTTACCAGTCTTTTCAGCCTGGCTCCACGACTACAAACCCAAACGTTTTCATTTCTTCCTCATAACATCACCTCCATGTAACCCTCACAAGCCAAACTCGTACTTTCCCATTCCCATTCCCCTTCCACTCCACAGCTTCGCCTCGCCTCGCCTCGCCTCGCCTACCACGTCTTCTCCTCAATCCGTCTTCTCAGTGTATGTCCACTGCAATCCATCTCCACTTCCTTCCTCTCAACATTTCTTGAGCAATGGATTCCTACTTGCTTCATTCCCAGCCACCCACACTTCCTCCTTACTTATCCTTATCATTCTCACCATCTCATCTTCACTATCCAGTGAGTGTAGGCGGCAACTGTTGTTTGTAGTTTGTTGGAAATGATTTTCATAACATGCCAAGTCTCTCAACCATCATATAGAATCACTGACTTACTTCACTGACAACATTAGTGTTGCAAATCTGGACACTCTTCACACTTTATGCTCACTGCAGTGCACTGCAGTGCAGTACAGTACAGTAGATCTTCACACTGATTTCAGATGAATGAAGGCTTGTCTTGTTATCTTTTCGAGACTGGCTTTCACATCCTCATCTGTGCCTGTGCCGCCTGTAGTTGAGAGGATGTTGTCTTGGTATGTAGGTGGAAGAAACAACTTGCTTTAGATTTTTTCCGTTCATGGTGTTTGGCGCTTGTTGTTGTTGTTGTTTGTTGGGTATCTTCATCACCTCTGTCTTGTCTACCTCCAACTGAAGGAAGTCTCATCTTCGTTGCCTCGCTTCACTTCGCCTCTTCTGTCAACTTGTTAGTCTTCGTCTGTATATCTTCGAGTTTGTGCGACATAAAACATAAATCCTTGGAGAAATCCAAATCTCCTAGGCTCTTTTCATCAGTCGAACAGCCTATACCCATCTTCTCACAACTCCTCACAGTTGTCTGTTGCATGATCCAGTCCAGTCGACCACAATGAGGAAGATCATTGGTGATAGTAGGTGGCAGCCTTGTCTTACTCCTGTCCTCTGTCTTCACTTCAAAGGCGTCACTGAACTTTCCATTGTGTTGTGAATCACTTGGCGTGTAGCATCATATAGCATATAGCTGTTGAATGGGGTTGATAAATGTTTGTGGCACTAAAACTGTAGTGTTAAAGCAGTTGCCAAATTACTTCTCGATCGATTACAAAGAAGAGAGTGAAATGGCAACGTGCGACTGAAGCCCTATGTTCCACTAGGAACCGAAAGGACAAATAATAATAATAATTCACTGTAAAATGAGGAATGTGATGAAATCAGGTCAAGAATTTGAAGCGTATTTGTGGAAATTGTTGTATAAGGCTCTAATAATACCATTTAGTTGCACATGTGGTCCAAAACAGACAAAGTTCAAATCAGTATCCTTTCAGTTAAAAGTTGAGTGCTAACAGTGATAAACTATAGCTTTACAATCACTCTAAAGTATTTTTTCATTCCTAATTTGGAAGCCACGTAAACCTAGTGCTGAATAAACGTAAAAATATTCAGTAACTGACTAGCTTATTTCACATATTACTCTTAAAACCAGGTGTGTTTGAAATTAAATCCTGATACAGACAAAAAACCTTCAACATTTTAGAAAATTTTATGGAAAAGCACAGAAAGATATTTAACTATTTGAAAAGTGAAATGAGGAAACAGTCAACCAGTCAAATCAAGACTTACCTTATTACAAACTTCAAAATCGATTATTTTGTTCCATTCACCAGAAACACGTGCAATTAGATTTCCATTACTAACAGGTGTTAATGGTGATCCAGATACTTTAGATGAACGTTCAGAAGGAGTTTGAGAAATGTTAAGAGGAGGACCATAAATTTCTCCACTAACACGATGAATTTTATCACCATAATGCGGCTATTGTAAACCAAACGAACAAATAAACTGAATTTTGAGGGAGTTGTGGAGATTTGGGAATATTTCAAGTTGTTATTCATCGTAGACTGACATCAGTTGGAGGAACAAAGGAAACCTGGGAGCACTGGATAGCTGTTTCGTCTTAGTATGGGACTCCTCAGCAGTGCACACCCACGACTCCAACCCGCCAGGGATCGAACCCGCGACCTTCAGGTTCCGTGCCCAGCACGTTATCATTGACCCACTGGGTCAAAATCCAACGGTCAATATTTTCAACTTCTGTTAGCTCACGATATAGCCCAATCGCCACCCAATGTCATTGTTGAGTGACTGTTCTCACTACCATCAGGCTTTGCCCCGACAGGTCAGGACTTCTCATAGGAACTTCACGAATACCCTCGAAGCTAGTCACCAATCAGCAGAAGTTTGAAATATGGACCATTGGGTTCTAACCCAGTGACTCGATGGTAACGTCCTGGACACGGAACCTGAAAGTCGCGGGTTCGATCGCTGGCGGGGTGGTGAGTGCGCACCGCTGAGGAGTCCCATACTAGGACGAAACAGATATCCAGTGCTCCTAGGTTTCCTTTGTTCCTACAAGTGATGTCAGTCTACGATGAATAACAACTTGGAATAAATAAACTGTAATGTTCCAAAATATTGAATGAAATCATTGATATATGAATCAGATTTGACTGATCACTTCATGCGCAACTTTTACAGGAACTCACCTTTGTATTCTATAATTCAGATAATACTCTGACACACGTTTAAAAGTGGATAAATCAACACTGGAGTCAGTATACAGAATAAACTGTAAGCTTCCAATATGATGCTGACACCTTGAACACGAATATGAGCAAGAAATTCTGCTAGAAACGTCATGCAATAACATCCTGCGCTATATCAGATTACCAGTGCAAAATGGAACATACCTGTCGTCTTTTCAGTCTTTATCTGAAAACAATTCTAAAAGACCTCATTCAACAGCTATATGCTATATGATGCTACACGCCAAGTGATTCACAACACAATGGAAAGTTCAGTGACGCCTTTGAAGTGAAGACAGAGGACAGGAGTAAGACAAGGCTGCCACCTACTATCACCAATGATCTTCCTCATTGTGGTCGACTGGACTGGATCATGCAACAGACAACTGTGAGGAGTTGTGAGAAGATGGGTATAGGCTGTTCGACTGATGAAAAGAGCCTAGGAGATTTGGATTTCTCCAAGGATTTATGTTTTATGTCGCACAAACTCGAAGATATACAGACGAAGACTAACAAGTTGACAGAAGAGGCGAAGTGAAGCGAGGCAACGAAGATGAGACTTCCTTCAGTTGGAGGTAGACAAGATAGAGGTGATAAAGATACCCAACAAACAACAACAACAAGCGCTAAACACCATGAACCGAAAAAATCTAAAGTAAGTTGTCTCTTTCATCTACTTACCGAGGCAACATCCTCTCAACTACAGGCGGCACAGGTACAGATGAGGATGTGAAAGCCAGTCTCGAAAAGATAACAAGACAAGCCTTCATTCATTTGAAATCAGTGTGAAGATCTACTGTACTGTACTGCACTGCAGTGCACTGCAGTGAGCATAAAGTGTGAAGAGTGTCCAGATTTGCAACACTAATGTTGTCAGTCAAGTAAGTCAGTGATTCTATATGATGGTTGAGAGACTTGGTATGTTACGAAAATCATTTCCAATAAACTACAGACAACAGTTGCCGCCTACACTCACTAGATAGTGAAGATGAGATGGTGAGAATGATAAGGATAAGTAAGGAGGAAGTGTGGGTGGCTGGGAATGAAGCAAGTAGGAATCCATTGCTCAAGAAATGTTGAGAGGAAGAGAGTGGAGATGGATTGCAGTGGACATACACTGAGAAGACGGTTTGAGGACATGACGTGGTGGGCGAGGCTGTGGAGTGGAAGGGGAATGGGAAAGTACGAGTTTGGCTTGTGAGGGTTACATGGAGGTGATGGTATGAGGAAGAAATGATAACAATAATAGAAACTAATTAGGCTGCACACTTTCCGAGCCAGATCAGAGGGATGTAAACACCATGTCGACATCACAGTTAATGCGAAACGTGAGAACTGAGCATTCTGTTCTTCGGTGTATAATTCAATCTATATAAAAATGTTTCAATGATGACATCTTAGATTTTGTGTATCGTATATGTTTAGGAAACGGTATGATTAATAGATTACTAAAATAGGGTTTAAACAAGTTAATTAAATGTCGCACTACGATAAGTAATGAAATAGGAGAAGGCAGAGATTATTATATTACTATTATCAACATAGGACCAGGCATTACTGCGTAACGGTCCCACTTGCCACACCTCATATCACCACATCAAGTAAAGAGGTAGTGAGGCGAAGGATGAAGATAAGTGAATGCAGTCAAAAGAAATACAAAGTACGAGAAGAAAGGAAAGAGGAGTGACAAAATGGTGAGATTCGGTATAGCGTTGGTAAGATGAGGATAATGTGTGTACAGGTGTGCGCCACTGACTTCGGTTCTCAGTCATATCACCTAGGGTCTCCAACCACTGGTTCCTCCTGTCCCCCCACCGACCCCAACCGACTAGTCTGCATCACTCCACATGGCTTAAACCAACAGTCAGAAACTTCATACATTGGTGCCATGTTTTAGTCTCGCCACCTCCCTCCAGCCTTTTTCCAGCCTCGACCCACCTCAGCCAACATTGTGTGACGAGGCAATCGGTGACTAGGCATACGTAACACATGTCCCAGTCAGCCATCTCAGTCGATCAAGGTTCATAACCTCGTCAACTGACTTACCTCTTCTCCACAAAACTCTACACTTCACTTCTGCATTACTCACATGGTGACACCACGGAATACGTCCTATACTACGAAGGCAAAGATGGTCAAACACATGAAGCCTTTTTATATCTTCCACTTTCAATGGCCATCTCTCACAGCCATACAGTAGAACAGACCGGACTGCTGTGCACATGCAGTACACGCGACCCTTAATAGACAAACGAATATCACGGCGGTGCCATAGGTGGCGCAAATTGGCAAAAGTCAATCGAGCCTTTTGTACCCGTGCAGAGATCTCATCGGCAACTAACCCACCGGGGTTGATCCTACTTCCCAGGTAAGTGAAGTGGTCAACACACTCAACCACTTCACTCTCTATTGTTAGCCGTGGTACCGCTGAAGACCAGTCCTGGAGCAAAAATTTGCATTTGGGTGGTGAAAATCGCATCCCAAACATTCTCAAATTCCCATATATATATAAATGTTAACACTTTAAGTTTATTTGACACTACCGACTATAATTGAATCTTGAATTACTATCGCATATAATTCCGAATGAGATTAGACGTTTATTACAGTTGATACATGCTTATAAATGAAACTGTATCCAATTAGACAGAAACTGAAGTGATTCTGTGACGTTTTTTTTCTAAGCTAATAATTAGTCTTGGAACAAAGAGTATTCAAATCTCCTTTAGAAAGAAATTAACATTCACAGAGATAAAGCATACTGAGCGATACTTTTCAAAACGTTTTCACGAAAAATTAATACTTAAACCAATGATAGAGAAAAAATGTTTTGGAGACTATTGGAGCAGAAGATATTTATTTAAACTTTATTTCAAGTTGTTATTCATCGTAGACTGACATCAGTTGGAGGAACAAAGGAAACCTAGAAGCACTGGACAGCTGTTTCGTCCGACTAGTATGGGACTCGTCAGCAGTGCGCACCCACGACCTCACCAGCAGGGATCGAACCCGCGACCAGCGCGTTACCATTCAGCCACTGGGTCAGAATCCAATGCTCCATATTTCCAACTTCTGTTAGCTCACGATATATAGCGCAACCGCCATCCAATGTCATCGCTCAGTATCTGTCCTCATGGTCATTAGGCTTTGACTCCACCGGTCGCGGGTTCGATCCCTGCTGGTGGGGTCGTGGGTGCGCACTGCTGAGGAGTCCCATACTAGTCGGACGAAACAGCTGTCCAGTGCTCCCAGGTTTCCTTTGTTCCTCCAACTGATGTCAGTCTACGATGAATAACAACTTGAAATATTTCCAAATCTCCACAACTCCCTCAAAATTTAAACTTTATTGTTATTATTGAAGATGAGCTTGCCTTTTATTCAATATCTTCTCGAGGTACCCTAACACAGTTGTGAACTGTTCAATTGAAGTATCATCAGCTCTAAAATATTCTGTACTAAAACGATGACAAGAAAATAGTCTAGTTTTTTCAATGATTCAATTGTTTATATCATCATTCAATTCACTTTAATGTGATAATTCGCTCGTTTAGCAATTACCAACTTGTAGCATCTATGACGCCGACCGGCAAGATGTCTGACTACCTAGCAAAGGATGAGTATACTGCACTGCAATTCATTCTATTCTGTTATACGGGTGTAGGATGTGATCGTTAAAAGTATAAGATATGAAGCGTTTACCGAGTATTGATCATATATATCTTCATAGCATTTCTCGACTGTAGTGGGATCACCGTGTAAGCGACGTTGAGGTCAGGAGAAGGGTAATAAACAAGAAAGGCAACTTAGTCAACGAAGTTGTGAACATTCATCGACTAAGGTAGCTTAGACATATGTCTTGCATGCCTAGCCACCGCCTACCTCGATGTAACATAATAGGGGAAGTTGGATTAGTTTACAAGAGGACTGGAATGAGCAGATGAAGACGTCGTACTAATCCATGAATTCCCTAACTGATGGTCTCATACCTGTGGGAAGATGTAGACCACAGGGCTAGGGTCACCAAGACGAAAGGAATCGGTGGTTTAGATTTCTCGGTGACACGTCTGGACATCAATTGCAGTGGTGAGGATGTATCCACCCTATGATATCTTCAAAAGTTTGAATATTTATACTAACCTTTATCTTCAAATCACTTATTCTCACACACAACTTTATCTACTTTGATATTAGTCTTTTTTCAATTCACTATTGTGTTGCGTAACAACTTGAACCGATGCACTAGTATGACAGGTTCTACGTTGACTTTGTCATTCTGTCATAATTGGCTGAGGGGATTTGAACAACACTAATTAAGTCTTGTCGCTGAACAAATCATGGTCAGCTAGATAATATAAACAATAAGTTCTGTTCGAAACACTATCTAGTACTAGCTAGCTTTTAAAGTAACTCATCAACATGTAAACAATTAAATATAGTGCGATTAATTCGAAATAACAAATATGAACAGCTTAGATCATCTTACCTTCGGTAAAAATGTGATTGTAGCTGAACAACCTGTTTGAGGACAATTGATTAACACCTTATCACCTAATTCAACCCATGGAACAGTTAATATTGATCGAGCATATACTGTAGGTAGGGTAAAGTGATATTCTTCATTATTGTGTTCACCTAATCTTAGAGTAACTATGAAATTCAACCAAAAAAAATATATAAATTACCAATACTATAATGAAGTATTAAAAAAGGGTTTGAACTAAAATATGTACCCGTGAATAAGTTTAATACAAAAGACCATTTGAAGTTCATTGAAATCTTTTCCAACTTCAAATCACCTAGGCTAAATTTAAGTGAGAACATAAAAAAAGTACGTATAGTTTTACATAAACAGTGACAATGTGTATGCAAATGACAAAACCAAAGTCGACCTAGTATACAGGTGTATTGGTTCATATTGCCATACTCCGCAGTAATAATAATAATAATCTATTATTTTCAGTATTTATCATTTGAATTCCTAGTGGAACATAGGGATACAGTAGCACGTTGATATTTCACTCTATTCTCTACACTTTGCTTAACCTGGCTCCACGACTACCTGCCAAGAAGTTTTCATTTATTCCTCATACCAGCACCTCCATATAACCCTCACAAGCCAAACTCGTACTTTCCCATTCCCCTTCCAATCCACAGCCTCGCCTCGCCTCGCCTCGCCTACCACGTCATGTCCTCAATCCGTCTTCTCAGTGTATGTCCACTGCAATCCATCTCCACTCTCTTCCTCTCAACATTTCTTGAGCAATGGATTCCTACTTGCTTCATTCCCAGCCACCCACACTTCCTCCTCACTTATCCTTATCATTCTCGCCATCTCATCTTCACTATCCAGTGAGTGTAGGCGGCAACTGTTGTTTGTAGTTTATTGGAAATGATTTTCGTAACATGCCAAGTCTCTCAACCATCATATAGAATCACTGACTTACTTGACTGACAACATTAGTGTTGCAAATCTGGACACTCTTCACACTTTATGCTCACTGCAGTGCAGCAGTGCAGTACAGTACAGTAGATCTTCACACTGATTTCAGATGAATGAAGGCTTGTCTCGTTATCGTTTCGAGACTGGCTTTCACATCCTCATCTGTACCTGTGCCGCCTGTAGTTGAGAGGATGTTGCCTAGGTAGGTAGATGAAAGAGACAACTTCCTTTAGATTTCTCCCATTGATGATGATTGGTGCTTGTTGTTTTCTTTGTTGGGTATCTTCATCACTTCTGTCTTCTCTACGTCCACCTAGAGTCCCATAATGACAATAATAATCCCCTTTATTCTAAACGATTTCTAACACAATTTGGAATTCTCAGCATGATATTTTGCATTAACAACAAAGTATGTGTATGTTTATGCTCCTTTACAACATTTCGAATTGTGTTATCATAAAACTTCAATTAATGTAAGCGATATGAAAAACAAGAACAGTTTACATACTCAATTAAATTATTGAAATAAGATTTTTAGCTGTTATAAACTTGAAATACAAGTTTTCTTCTGACACTTTTCTCCTTACAAAATATGTGTGCTAATGTACAGTCGAATTCTTATACTTAGCTGTACGAGCGTAAAGTCTTATGTATTTTCATCTAGTCGTTCTCCTGAGGAGATACAAGAAGAGAGAGAGAGAGAGAGAGAGACAGAGAGACAGAGAGAGCGGTGAATGAAGTGGATGCTCAGTGTCAGTTAAAATTTATATATCTAGTTTCTTGCTTGAATTTAAACGTTTGTTAAGTACAGTGTTAAACAGTTGGGCTAGAGACACAGCACTCACCCCCCTACTGACGGCTTTCAAAACCTACGCAATATAACATAGTTCATTTTTAGAAGACTAGGAAAGATCAGTAGGGAACAATAGACAAGAATAGATGAAATCCAAAAGTAGAAGTTGAATTATACCAGAAAGATTTTTTTACAAGTCAACAAGATATGATATGACCAATAAAGGTCATAAGTAATACTCAACTCAAGATAGTTAACGGTTCGCTTACTTTCTGCAAAATACATCAATGCAACAGGCGTCATGAGACTTATGCAGCTCACATGAGTTTGTCTTGTTTATGCCTGAAGCTGGAACCAACAGTCTGACGTTTAGAAGGGTTTAACTTGAGACTATTGGTTAATTACAGACAAGTTCCCATTTAATTCAGTGCAATCTAAATGAGAGTTAACTGAAATAAACACCGTCAGGTTATCTGCATACTGAATAAAATTAGTTTCAACAGAATAAGGTAAATCATGCAAAAAGAACGAAAACAGAAAAGGAGAAAGTACAGTACCTTGAGGCATACCAGCTTCAATAAGCAATGAAGTGAAGCGCTTCCCTGTATATAGACAGTATACTGTTCCGTTACAGAAAAGTAAGAATAAGGTCACTTTGTAACCCAAGGCTCAGTATGAGTTAAGACAAACTTATTAAACAAGAGTGGTCTAGGAACAGAGTCAAAGGGTGATGAGTAATCCAAAAAGGCACAACGAACATATTAACACATTTGTTTAGACTACAAAGAATATTACGAAAAAAGACAGTGACAACATGTAAAGTACTTCTCCTGTGTTTGTAAGTAAACTGTTTTCAATCTCTGAAAACTATCAATGAAGGCTCAAACACAAGGAGAAGTAATTTCACCATGTCTTCAATCAAGAGGATAAAGTAGTGTGACAGAATAAACAATCTGAACATAAAGATTAGTGCGAATAATCAAGCTTTAGAAGAAGTCAAAGAGTGAATACATCTATGCCATCATTGTAACCAATTTTCAGCCAGATCACCAAGAATTCTCAACCACTTATTCCTTTCATCTTGGGGACGCCAACCAGGCTGTGTATACATCTTCCTATACACCTCAGAACAACAAGTCAGGGACATCTTCAACTGGTGTCATGTTTTGATGTGATCACTCTGAAGCTTTTTACAACCCAATCCAGCTTCCTCTAGTATGGCATATTGAGCGTAGGCGGTGGGTTGGAATACTCAGTACACGTTCAAGTCATCTCAGTCAACTAAACATCATAAACTCAAATGTATACAAGTATTGAGAATTAAAAAAATTAGTTAGAATTCAATTTGTTCAACAAAATGCGATATACAGAACAAATTAATCTCAACATTCATAGTCCCAGTTACGAATATTCGTTACATTCCTCAAACTCCTCATTACTACAGTTAATGATTCAATTTGTAGGTTTATGAGGATTCATTCATTAGTTTCAGAACTTATATCGGTTGGAGAACCATTGGAAACTTGGTAGCAATGGACAGCTGTTTCGTCCCGACATGGTACTCATCAGTAGTGAGCACCCATGACTACATCAGGTTCCACTAAGCCACTGGGTTGGAATCCAACCATTCACATTTCCTACTTCTATCGGTTTATAATAAAGCACAACCTGCATTAAATACCCCCTGCCTCACGTTAGAATTGGTTGACTTCATCGGTTACGAATTCTCATTGGAGCTTTGGGAATTACCTTTTGAAGCTAGTCACCAATGAGCACTAGATTAGTTCAATATGGAGATTTGTAGAAACTTATTTATTGATTTTTCAAGTTGGCATTAATCGCTATCATACATATCATATATGATATATAAGCACTATGTATATACACCATGAAATGAAAGAAGTAGGAAGCATCAGCCACTGGATTTCGGCAATGTGGCTTAATGATAATTTCCTGGCCGCAGGACCTGAAGGTCACAGATTCGATCGCTAGTGGGGCACGGTCATAGGTACGCACTGCTGGGGAGTACCAGACTACAAAGAAACAGCTGTACCAAACCAAAGTTAAAATATTATTTGTAAAACCATCTCAATCCAATCATACATTACTAATATTCCAAAGCCAACCAGTTTAGCTTTTTTATGTGGATGTAATAAGCAGCAACCAAATACTTTATCGAAATATGTTTAGTAATGATTATCAGACAATATTTACTAATATGGCACGTCGAAGCAGGCGGTGATTCGGCATGTGCAACATATTTCCATATCACCTCAGTTGATGAAACTTCACATAATCAATAAAACTTGTTTTTCTTGCCTAACACCCTTCTCCTTACCTTAGCATTATTCACATGATGACTCCATCAAATCGAAAGTAATCTTATGAAGATTACATGTGATCAGAACCCTGTAACGGCTACATTTAGCACAGAACAAACTGCAGTGTAGTATACTCATTACATTAACAGATGGTTGGATATCTCGTCTACTGGCACCATAGATAATCCAAGTTGGTAAATGTTAAACAGGTCTACTGCATTTGAGCTGAGATTTCGCCAGTAATACTGCAACATAGCATGTAACAATCAATATCCTTTATATACGCCCTCGACTTCAATTTTGGAGTTGCTCATCTATAAGTTCAACCCTATGAGAGTATCGTGCCAATGGCTAAAGTATAACAAGTTAATACGGTATAGTACAGCTATTCTTCAAGAACATAAATGAGTCGTTGAATGTACAAGTCATGTGATAAGTACCACAAGTTGTTGGTAAGCGCTTGTCCACTTTACAGTATTTCTTCTAAGCTTTATCAATGCATATTTTGAAGACAGATGTTAATTATGATAGAGGTGAAGATTATTCCTCTGTAAACTATCTGCGTTATAGAGGATGAGAGTGTATCATCATCATCATCATTATCAACATAGGACCAGGCATTACTGAGTAACGGTCCCACTTGCCACACCTCATATCAGCACATCAAGTAAAGAGGTAGTGAGGCGAAGAATGAAGATAAGTGAATGCAGTCAAAAGAAATACAAAGTACAAGAAGAAAGGATAGAGGAGTGACAAAATGGTGAGATTCGATATGGCGTCGTTAACATGAGGATAATGTGTGTACAGGTGTGCGCCACTGACTTCGGTTCTCAGCCATATCACCTGGGGTCTCCAACCACTGGTTCCTCTTGTCCCCCCACCGACCCCAACCACCTAGTCTGCATCACCCCACATGGCTCAAACCAACAGTCAGAGACTTCATACATTGGTGCCATGTTTTAGTCTCGCCACCTCCCTCCAGCCTTTTTCCAGCCTCGACCCACCTCAGCCAACATTGTATGATAAGGCAATCGGTGACTAGGCATACGTAGTACGTGTCCCAACCATCTCAGTCGATCAAGGTTCACAACCTCGTCAACTGACTTACCTCTTCTCCTCAAAACTCTACACCTAACTTCTGCATTACTCACATGGTGACACCACGGAATACGTCCTATACTACGAAGGCAAAGGTGGTCAAACACATGAAGCCTTTTTATATCTTCCACTTTCAATGGCCATCTCTCACAGCCATACAGTAGAACAGACCAGACTGCTGTGCACATGCAGTACACGCGACCCTTAATAGACAAACGAATATCACGGCGGCGCCATAGGTGGCGCAAATTGGCAAAAGCCAATCGAGCCTTTTGTATCCGTGCAGAATCTCATCGGCAACTAACCCACCAGGGTTGGTCCTACTTCCCAGGTAAGTGAAGTGGTCAACACACTCAACCACTTCACATGACAGTGTATCATTACATTCATTGGTAAGACTTATATGGTTTTCTACTAACCAAAGCTTAATTATTTGTCATAAGTTGCGAAGACGTGGATCACTAGTCTACAGAGTTAACTTTTAACCAGTGGGTCATGGGTTCGAACACAGCTTTACCTAAAGAAACTATGGGAGCTACTTAGTATCACTAGCCCTGAAAAAAGTAGGTGTGATGCACTGCCTACAATATGAACGTGCAAGTGCATTTTTTGCGGGGATGGGGAGAGATTCAATTCGTCCTGTTATAGGCAACACATTACAGCAGTCATGAGCCAGAGATAGTGAACTTAACCAAGCAGTTCAACATCAATTTAGTACTCCATCACTGGATAGCCTTCAATCTAAGCAATTTATAGTTACAACGACTTGTGTCTACATGACAGGAGAATGCTAAAGATTTCATAGACAAAATCAGCAGCTACCGATTTTCTCAACATTTAACAACTGAATGTATTACCAAAAACAGTTGTCCTTCGAATTAGAGAAAACCAAGTCAGATTCACAGCCATATGGAAGAAAAGATGAAACATTCATATCGGTAATTTAATTGATTCTGGCTAGCAGAAGGATTTGAGATGTGCATTTCGTCCTATTTCAGACTCGTCAGCTGGATGTACCAGCACTCTAGTGACTCATGTTGATACAACTGAGACTCCAACCCCGTACCCATCACTCCAGACGCCAAGGCGTTATCTATCAGACCAAGGAAGCACAATAGCCACCTCTTGTATAATGGGTATTAGTTATTACTATTTATTTATGTGCTTGTAATTCTCTGTTATTTTACTAGATCGAATTGTTCGACCTCTATTGGCATATGGGCTCCAATACGGATGCCTCGATATCGCTTAAACATTAATTATGATAATTCACTTGGTTGTGAGTAGCAGAGGAATTCAAGACGCAAGTTTCGTCCTATTTGGGACTTGTCAGTCGGATGCACCTGCACTCCGGTGAGTAATGCTGTTCCTCCTAAAACTCGAGCCTCGTACCCATTAGTTATCGAAGCATTTGCAAAGGAGCTAATATATACCAATGGAGATCGAACAATTCGATCCAGTAATAGAATATTCATTAAAACGAGAGAAGAATATAATTAATTTCATAAATAATGATCACAACAAAATAAATTTTAAACTTTATGCTTACTTCTACCTAACATTGCAGCAGAAATACTCATTCCTTGAAATTTTGACTTAGTGTATATTGATGCAGTCAATTCCATTTTCTTTGCAGGACAATAAAAATGGAAAGCAGATATAGGTGGATGATGAGAAACTTGTTCAGCACAATATCGTATAACTATAGGTTTATTGTTATTAGATAATAGTTTACTATTATCTCTGTTTGTTTCTGGTAAACATGATCCACTATTGAGTTGATGAGGTGAAATAATCCAACTACAATGAAATGTCTCACCAATAATAGGATTATAAGGTTTCTTGGCAACTGTATCCTTTAGGGAATAGATAATTTCAAATAATCAGTGAAAATAAAATTACTGACAGGAAAAAAAACTTTTACATATATATAACGCTAATGAATTATCTCCGAAACCTTATCAATTAAATGATACTGTCTCTTCACTGTGTGACATTTCTAATAAATAGACTATAATGGAATTACAACCTCGCCTGGTTAACTAGTTTACTAGTTACTAGCCGGTCCTAAGCCCGGGTAAAGAGGGAAGGTTGGGCATAGGGCTAGCAACCCTACCCCGTAAAACAAATCTAACCGCTAAACAAACTTCAAAGCACAAACAAAATATAAAAAATGAAAACAAACTTATTCCCCGCTGGAATCGGAGAGGCGAAATGACGCCAGTTGGTAAAAGCCTTCGGGAAGCCAATTGGCCGATGTGTCTTCTCTCGATGAAAGCGAAAGTAAACGTGGGGACATGGAATGTCCGCACCATATTTGAACCCAGTAAGGCAGCCCAGATTGCAAACGAGATGAGAAGGTATCACATTGAAGTGCTTGGGATTTGCGAAAGCAGATGGAATGGGAGTGGACTCTCCAAACTGTCAACTGCAGAATCAATAATCTACTCCGATCACCCAGACGACAACCACGAGCACACTGAGGGAGTGGCTATCATGATGTCCTCAAGAGCATCAAAGGCTCTCATGCAGTGGGAACCAATCTCCTCCAGGATCATGACAGCAAGATTCAACTCAAAAGGAAGAAAGGTCACAATCATACAATGTTATGCACCTACAAATAATGCAGAGCAAGAGAAAAAGGAGGATTTCTAAAGACAACTTCAATCAACACTGGACAAGACGTCAGTTAGCGATATCAAAATTCTGATGGGCGACATGAATGCCAAACTGGGAGGGGACAACACGGGAAGAGAACTAACCATGGATCGAGAGGCGCTAGGTGAAATGAATGAGAATGGAGAATTGTTTGCAGAATTCTGCGCATTCAACGATTTGGTAATTGGAGGCAGTATGTTCAGGCACAAAGATATCCACAAAGCAACATGGATTTCATCAGATTTTTGGACACACTAAAAATCAAATAGACTTTATCTCAATCCCGAGAAAATGGAGACGCAGTCTACTTAACACAAGGTCAAGAAGAGGAGCAGATATAGGTTCAGACCACTATCTAGTGCAAGGAACCTTTCAAATCAAGTTAAAAGCCTTCAAGGAAGCTGGTGATAGACCTCAATTCAAGTACAACACTCGGAAACTGAAGGATGAAACTACAAAGGAGATCTTAAAGGCAGCCATCAAGACAAAATGGGAGATATCGAGGAACATCCCTGAAGAAACCTGTATGGAAGAACACTGGAAGTCTTTGAAAGCTATGTGGAAAGAAACCTGCACAACAGTATTAGGAAGGAAGAAGAAAGAAGACAAGGAATGGATCTCGACGGATACCTGGAAGCTGATAGAGGAGACGAGGATGGTGAAGCAGAAGATAAACCAGTGCAAGGATGCTCAACGACAAGAGGAACTGAGCACAATATATAAAACACTGGATAAAGAAGTGAAGAAGAGTGCACGCAAAGACAAACGACACTTCTACGAAACACAGGCAAGTGAAGCAGAACAGGCTGCAGGTAAGAGAGACCTGACGACATTGTATCGAATAACCAGGTTGCTATCAGGGAAGAGACAGACACAGATGAAACCAATAAAAGATGAAGAAGGAAATTTAATTACAAAAGAAGAGAAACAGAGGAAACGATGGGCCGACCACTTCAAGAAGCTCTTGAATCGACCACCACCTGCACTTCGTCCAGAAATACCACCTGCAGCCGCTGAATTACAAGTGGACATAAATCCCCCAACGAAAATGGAAGTCCTGAACGCCATAAAGCTACTGAAATGTGGGAAAGCAGCAGGACCAGATGGAATCCCGCCAGAAGCACCGAGAACAGACGCAGAGACAACAGCGGACATGCTCACACCACTATTGCAGAAGGTGTGGAAGGAAGAGAAGGTACCTGGCCATTGATTGGAAGAAGGGTTACCTTGTCAAACTGCCGAAGAAAGGAGACCTCAGTGTTTGCAAGAACTGGTGCGGAATCACTCTCCTGTCCACCCCAAGTAAAATATTAAGCCGCATCATCCTGGAGAGGCTTAAAGATGCACTGGATTCAAAACTGCGACCGGAACAGGCAGGCTTCAGGAAGTACAAATCATGTGCAGACCAAATTGCAACGCTACGCATCATCATAGAACAGAGCATAGAATGGCAATCAGCTCTCTACCTCAACTTCATCGACTTTGAGAAGGCCTTTGACAGCGTCGACCGAGAGGTAATTTGAAAACTGTTTCAATACTACGGAGTACCGCAAACCTTTATCAACCTCATTCAACAACTATATGAAGATGCCACATGCCAAGTAATTCACAATGGGAAGCTCAGTGATGCTTTTGAAGTGAAAACAGGAGTGAAACAAGGTCGCCTACTATCCCCCATGATATTCCTGATTGTGGTCGACTGGATCATGCAGCATTTTTTTTTTTTTTTGAAGAGGGGGATACACTGGACTGCGGAAAAGAACCTAGAAGACTTGGATTTCGCCGATGACTTGTGCCTGATGTCACATAAACTTGAAGATCTGCAGGCAAAAACTAACAAGTTGATAGAAGAGGCAGCGAAGACGGGACTTCAGGTGAATATACAGAAGACAGAGGTGATGAAGATACCGCACCAACAACTCCAACAACAAACTCCAATCACCGTCAACGGGAGAAACTTAAAGGAAGTAACCTTCTTCACTTATCTAGGAAGCATTGTTTCAACTACAGGCGGGACGGACGAAGACGTCAAAGTCAGAATCGGAAAAGCAAGACAGGCGTTCATTAGCCTAAAACCAGTGTGGAGATCTTCAGCACTCAGCATGCGGAACAAGATACGGATTTTCAACACCAACTTTTGTCAAGTTAGTGCTCTTGTATGGTTCAGAGACTTGGCGCGTCACGAAAGTTTTTTTTTTTTTTTTTTTTACATTCATCAACAACTGCTTACGCTCACTACTGAAGATCAGATGGCCAGAAAGAATAAGCAAGAAGGAGCTCTGAGAACGAACCAACCAAGAACCTATCACGCAACAAATATGCAGGAAGCAGTGGAGATGGATTGGCCATGCACTGAGAAGGTCGACTGAGGACATCACGCGTCAGGCCTTTTTCTCGAGTGGAATCCCCATGGGAAGCGACGAGTTGGACGTCGGAGGTGAGGGGTGACCCACGCTGAGAAGAAAGAGATTTCAGAAAATCACATGGGAAGTCAATTAATTAACTATACTAATTAACTAGTATGATTGCAGAAATAATGTGGGCAAATGGGTAAATAATGGGTGAATAGCGTTAATAATGCGAGCGAGGCATACATAATGGGAATTGTGCTAAATAATCTCCTTGAACAGCGGATAGTCCGTAAAAATCCGTTTACGTGTCTCAGCATTCCTAATGAATGCAATGGCCCACATTATTTCAGAATTCACGCACAAATTAGTAGATTTCAAAGTTGTAGCACGCTGTGAAGACCAGGTGTTGATAGCCCTTCGTCTAAGTTGTAGGTAGATACGTTTTTGCGGAAGGGTCCATAGAGCAGTGTGAGTTCAGTGGTGACCACGAGCATCTGGAAGAGGAAAGAGGAGAAAAAATGCGAGCCGACGACCAGGCAAGTACACAGAATTTACTTACATCTGTCCGTTAAGGACATTTGGCAAAAAACAGAACTTGAAAACAACGAGGAACGGTAGTCTTGAAATCGAAACTGGAATGTTGATGAATTACGTCCCGAACCCGCTACATCACTATACAGTAGCGCTACAGTTACGCAAGCCGCTCCAAAACCCAATATCCAATATCTTTTAACGAGCTAGTGTAAACCAATTGAATTCTTCGCGCTCGCTTCTAGGTCTTGCGGAACGCTTCTAGGTCTTTGGTGGATTCCAATGCAGTAGGTCTACCCATTCGACTGCTGTAGCTCTGGTCAACCCGACGGACGCTTGTGTGTTGTTTAGAATTGTAGGGAGTGTTGTTTGTTTGCTTGCTTGTTCTTCCGGGGACTTTGGTGCAAACGGGTTCCCCAAATGTCGTGCCAGCAGACAACTGGTCGGACTGGTTGTAAAAAGGAGATGAAAAATATGTGCAGAGAAATCAAGAGAGAGAAAGGGCAGGGAAAGAAAAGGGAAAACGGAAGAATAATGTGTAAAAAGAAGATTAGTAAAAGGGAAACGGCACGGAAGAATGAAATGTTGGTAGGTTCATGGGGAATAGGTGATAGGCAGAGCTTTTGTCAAAGTTTGAGAGCGTAAAGTCAGAAGGAAGAATAATAACGTAATAGGGCGAATGGGAATATAGTAATTCTTCTAGTAGGAGACGGTAACTGGAGGGGACGTCTACAGGAAGGTATAAGGCTGAGCCAGACGGAGAAGTAGCAATCTCGTAGGTAATGCGTCCCAGTGGCTGCAAACTCGCAGAGAGAAGAAGTGTGATCGCACACGGGTTTTCGCTCTTTGGTGAGCGACTCTCCTTGGGTTACCAAGAGGATCGCCATAGTGGCCGTTCCGTAGGATTCCACTGTTCGGATGACTCGGGTTACTGAGTATTTTGTAAGCCGTTATCAAGTCACCACGTCATCTACGGTGGCTTAGGGAGTAGAGCCCCAGATCTTTCAGCCTGTCTTGATATGGTCTTCACCTCATTGCCACGGCCATCTTTGTAGCTCACCTCTGGACTTTCTCTAGGAAGTTCACATCTCTTTTCGGATATGGTGGTGCAATGACGTTGTATACCTCTAAGTGGAGTCGCATGTAGGTCTTATGTAACTTGAAAAAGAGTTCTGGGGTCAGGGCACCCAACTGCCTGCGCATGAAGTGCAGTACTGCGTAGGCTCTGGAGGCATCTCCTGGATAACTGGAGCTAGTGTCTAGTTTGTCAGTTAGTGTTGATCCTAGGTCTTTCTCCGTGGTGGTGCGGCAGAGAT